AGACTCCTGGGAGATGCAGGAAAACATTAAAGAGAGGGTAGTTAGAAAGTGCACTAAGAGGGGTATTGCAGCCTCAAGTTACTTTCTGAATACATCACATGGTCACTGTTCCTCTATTTTGGCAGAAAATCCATTCATCTTTTTATTAAGTTGATTGTCATTTGCAATGACTCAGTAATTCTACTGATTTAAAGCTTTAATGGTGCTAAATCAGAGTATATTAGAGACAAATCCCTGTATCAATAAAGTGCTTTAAAATAGGATAGGATTTTATTATTCTTGCTTGGCAATGTAAAGCATGAGCATAATGCATTTAATGTGAAGTTGCATTTATACTGGACAGATGTCCCAGGTCACAAACTTAAACAAGTGTAGAAGACAACTATCTACATTACTTATGTGTATGAGAAACTTGACAGAAGAGTTTGCTATAAAAGCAGTAAAACTATTAGCTCTAAGCATTCAAGAATCTGTCAGAAATTCCACAAGCTGCATTGGCAGCAGGGATTAAATCCACAGATATTAATAACATCTTAGATGTTAGAAAATTTAGGTCATTTTTCCTGCCCCTTTGCTGTTGATCAATGTTTGATTGCCTTCCCTCCCTCCACGTTTCTAAATGATGATGAAATCACCAGGAGGACTAGTTTTACATTTCCCTTTTTGAGCATCAAAAACACTGATAGAGCTAAAAGACCCCTGGGAACAGAGGCTTGTGTTTAAGTAACTCTGAAGAGCAAGAAAAGCTCAGCGCTATTTTTATGAAAGGTGTTTTATTGTTTGTTTTTTTCAGGGACAAAGCAATGATTTTTTTAATGCAAAGGTGTGTTTCAGGACAAGAGGAAGCATTCCTCAATAATTGTTTTCAATTTCAAAATGCTACTTTTTGAACTAGAGTATTTTGTTGGGGGCTTCTTAAAAGGCTTTTTAGATTTTTTTTTTTTTTCTGCTCAAAAACCTGTGTAGTAAAGTCTAGTTGTGCTTAGAGTGATGTAATAGCTATGCCACCGATTTCTTTAGCAAAGGACTCAGCTATATATATTAGCCTGCCTGCCTCAGTTCTTTCCTAAGTCAATAGGACTGCCTGTATGCATAAAGTAGCAATAGAATGTAGCTAGAGATTTACAGAGAAATGGCACATGTTCACAAGGTAATTTGACTTTGAAAGAAATCAGTGGTTTAATCATGGTAGCCTTGTTTTCTGTGTCATTTCAGAATTAATAATACACTTGAAGAAATTTTGTTTGCTTTTGAGGGAAATCCATACTGGAAGGATTTAACAACTTTCGTCAGTTGGACATGCGAGGTAGCTCAATACATGAATGAGGAAGCAGGATCTGCGGGAAGTCAGTCAGGTGAGGAAACAGCTACTGCACAGCACAGGCTTTATTCTGATGGTTCCCTGCCTGTTTTAGAGCATGGTATTCCTCTGAAAGGGAAAAGGTGATGATTTTTATATTTGTGAGTCTGTTTCTGTTTGTGTTTCCATCAACCTTAGGATTCACCAACTGACTGAATCATTAGCAAGGAAAACTTGTAATATACAGAGCCTGCCTCTAATAAATAGCTGTTATTTCAGTGCCAGCTGGAAAATTTTCTGATTGTCCATTTCTATTGGGAAAATTCCAACTGGTTGAACCTGGTTGGAATCTCTTCTTTTGCAACAGTATTCTGTCAGGAAAGCTTCTTAAGTTCAGGATATAAATGGGAGACCAGACTAGCTGGTCTGACCCATCTGCCCTTAACTTTCTTGGAATACACTATTTTTTCATTATTTGGGGAGAACTTTGAAATATCTGAGATTTATGCTGAGGAATGAGAGATCTTCCATTTCAGAATTCTTTCTCATTAAATTTTTGTGTTACTCTTCTCAATGTTTTTGTGGAGCTATGGAGCAGGGCACAATGTGGCTGATCCAAACAGCTCTAAAAAATGATCTCACCCAATATCACCTATTTGTTTCCTTTAAGTATTTTCACCATGCTCCCAATTCTTCCATTTTTTCACCACTTGTATTTCCAGCTTCTGAAGGATTTAGGTTACTGATGGAATTTTTTTAAGCTAGTTCTTGGGATTTGTGAAAGATCTTGTTCTTGCTAAAGATCTGTTTTTCTGAACACATTTTTATTTTTTTTCCTCTGCCCTTTTTCTCTATAGAGCTAATCAGAAAAGTACTGAATACCTCATCAGTAAGTGGGCAGCTATGGAATGTATGCAAAAAATAAACAGTACTTTTTTAATTGAAGAACTGTGTTAGTGAAATTAACTGTTCAAATGTGAATTGCTTGTCCAGGTTTTGTAATCTATTACAGTTCCGATATTTCAGTTATCTGGGCAGTAATAGTGAATTTCACAGAACTGCTTTCTCTTTACTGAAATTCCAAGGAAAAAGAAATACTAAAGTTCCTTTCAGTGCTGAATACAGCACTAAGTGCGCTCTGGTATAGTAAAACTAATCTTATTTGAACTAGTTCCGCAGTTCATGTATAATTCAAAAGATATCTTCTATTTTTCCTTTTTTCTGTAAGGAATTGTGTTTGAATTTTTCTGTAAGAAGTTCTGTAAGGAAAATACAGGTATGCCTTATGTAAAGCTGATATTTATTATAATAATTCAGTAGAACTAACATCAAACACTTTAATAAAAATTGCATATTTACTTCCTTTAAAATGTACATAATGTATTTCTCTTTCTGCAAACATTCAAGTCCTTCTAAATTTGGTAGGACTTATTCAGGTTGTTTCAGTGGGAGTCCATCAAGTTGTTCATAGATGTGTTCATAAAAACTTTTTTTGATCTGTCTCTTGATGTTGAAATTTTTATTTTCTCTGCAGGTGGACTAGAAGCATCTCTCTGTTCTAGACAAAAGCTCAGTTTGGAGACCATCCTAGGTCATTATTTAGCATTTCTGCAAGACTTACCAGATTATTCCTCATTTATTTCCTGGGCACGGTAAGGTTGAACTAGTCAATGTAATTTCTTTCTTTAACTATTTTCCAGAAATCCTTTACCCCACTCCACTTTGGACTTTTGTAATTCTTAAACATAATTACCCTGCCTCTTTTCACCAAATGGCTGGTGTTTTTCAGTGTTACTGGGAAGAAATAGAATCCTGCAAAGAAAGTTATGTCTTTGTGGCTGTCATTCAAAAGATTTAAAAAAAGACATCTCCATCTCTGGTGTGTTATCAGTACTAACCAAAGTGGTGGACTCCTGAGGGATCCAATGTGTTGTTACAAGGGCTTCTTGTCACTAAGTTACTTGCATTACAGCCCTGCTAATGTCCAGATGAACAGTGAAACAGAAACCATGTAATCATCACTCTGTTTAAAACAAGAAAAAAATAGCCCTCATGGAACAACTTTGGCCTAATTGTTCAGTGCTGCCTCAGTTATCAAGTGCTATCAACTATTTACCATGCTATGCTGGCGATCACAGCTGTTAATAGATAAGAATACTTTCTAAATTACATTTCTGGACTTTGAACTTTATTTTTCATTATGCTGCTATTTAGCTCTTTGCTAAAGCAATCCCTTGTTTAACCTATCAAATGGAAATAACCATATCAAGGCAATGAAAGATGAAGAATCAGAAGTTTATAAGTGGCACAATTTGAATATTACCTCCACTGTTAGAGAGGTCATGTTGTGATTTTCATTCAAGCAGAACTTGACAGGGACTTTAGCAGCTTGATTAAAATGGGCTCTAGAAGCAAAGAACTCCTAGTTTGGGCTTTCAAAATCTTAGATATTTTTGATATCTACAGTAAAAACGAAATGGAATTTAAGGAGTAGAATGCAAATAGATATCTTGAATATTCAATCACTTTTCCTTTGTGCTCTTTCCCAACTTTGTTTTAAAGATCAGTGCAGATACATTTGCTAGGGCAAGGATTTGGATTTGGTCTTAAATACTGTTTCTAGAGTGTGCACTATTTTATCTACATAGTAATACTAACAAAATCACCTGACTTGTTTGCTATACATGCAGAGGTATTTCTTTGACTTGAATAGGTCTATGAAAGAGATTCTACGTGGGGGATCCTTTTTTCCCAATGTTTGACATCTTGGTTTCTCTCCTGTAGAAGCCATTCCAGTAATTGACACAGAAATTCCCTCACAAAGCTTTTTAATGGTGTGTAGTGTTCTGCTTTTTAACTATTAAAAGAGAACATATTTAAGGAGAAGCTATTTTCAACTTGAGACCTTTGCATTGGAATGCTCCTTTTTCCATGCACCTCAATGTTGACCAGTCTTACAGAGCTAGTAAACATTTTTTCTTTTGATAAATAGTATCGACACAATGGAAACATCTGTTGGAGCATTCCAATTTTCACTGTGATTTCATGTTTTGGGCTTTTTTCTAGATATTAAAATAGCAGTGTTCAGCTATCAGTCAGTCAACTTGAATGTTTTGGCTTTCAATAATTACGATAAAGCAAAAAAATTCTTCAGAATTCATGGAAAATTAGAGGTTTAGATAAATTTTATTGATAAGTTCCTTTCTATAAAATAATTAGTCTGTGGAGCATAAAAGCTTTTCTCTTTTCAGCAGCTGAAAATGTGATGTACTTAAACTAAAGGTATTTGACTCTTTGTGGCTTCCAAGCTTGATTATAATTACTGATAAATGCACACTTTTTTAACCTAGCTGCCTACATTCAGGTTTTGATTTGAATGTGGCTGTGACTTTTCAGTGAGTTTTGTCACATTTCTGAAAACCAAAGTGATTGTCATTTGTGCTATTTCAGGTTTTGTGGTGATTAATTTGTGACTGCTATTTAAATGATATTTGAACTTTGAATTAAGTAAATAAAACTATATTCAAAAATTATAAAAGATATATTTAACCAATTTTTGTCTGCCTGCTAGGTAACTAACAAGAAAAAAATAATGCTTAATTTTTCAGAATTTTGACATCTTTTAAAGAGTTTTTGAAGAGAGAAGAAAACTTATGGATTTCTGGTGAAAAGGAAATGGATCATCTTTTTCATCTTGTAGAAGTCATAGAAGAAATTAAAATGCTTGATTTCTCAGCTTCTTCAAACCAGTCTCTAATTGAAAATGTCTTGAATAATACAATTACATGGATGAAAAATTTTGCTGAGGGGAAGGAATCTGCCACCAATTTCTCACTTGCAGTTTCTGAACTCCATAATGAACTACGAAAAAATTTCCAGCCTCTTCAGAGATTCTGGATGAAAGAGGAGACAGAGATTTTCTGGCATATAGTGAAAATTGTATTCTATAAACTTGATTCTAGGCTCTCTCATTTGAGTCAAGTGGAAGAGGAGGAGGCATTGGAGACCTTATTTAGAATTATATTTTCCACTGCAGAAAATAAAATCCATAATAGAAGTATGCTATTGCTCCGAAATATCCTGACTGAATGGCCAGAGTTAAATATTGCTGCTTTGAACCATCTAAAACACTTAAGTGAAAGCTTCCTAAGGAATCTCTATGAGGTCAGATCGTTGACTGATGATCATGTCAATGTATCTTTCAGCACAATTCATGGAGTGAGTAATGCCTCCTCTTTATTACTCTCAAATGCGACTTTTATATATAAAGTACAAGAATTAGGAGAAATTGTGCACGATTTCTTCAAAAACATCCAAAAATTAAACAGTACTAGTGTGGCCTCATTTCTTCCAATACTTTTCTCTCTGTATCAGAATGATAATCTGGTCTTAAATATTGAGAGCAACAGCACTCTGTTAACATTTCTTTATGAGACTTCAAAAGATATTTCATCTTTTCAAGTATGGCATGACTTCCAAGATAGGGATCAAGTTTTTGATTTTTTGTCTGAAACATTTGATCTTCTCTGGAACTTCACCAGCAAGTCTCTCTGTGAAAAGTTACTAATAATTTACAACTACACAGAGTTTCAGGCCCAGTCTCTTGCACAGAAAGGAAAAAAAGAGATGCAAGTTGTCTATAGCATTCTGAGCAGTCTTAAAACTTTGGTTATAGATGAAGAGCTCCAAACAGCTGCCTTCTGTTATTTGGAACAGATTCTTGGTATCTCCCCAGAATGCCTGGTAAATAATGGGTGCATTGATTTTTATCTATCAAACAGTACTTCTGTAGATCATTCAGCAGAGGTTTATAACTTACTTCTGCTTCCATTGGACAGTGTTCTGTCTAATATAACAAACTTGGGAGATAAGGTCAGTGTGCCTTCTGCTTTGCACTGCACTTTTACATGGCTTCAAACCTGGACAGAGGTTTTTGAAGAAGCATCCAAAATCTTAAATTTGAATTCAACCTTTTTTGTCTGTCTAAGAAATGATTTGGCAAATCTCTCTGAAAGTCTTTTAAACGCAACTCATGATGAACTGTGCAATAATACAGCTATGGTTATTGCTGAAGCTACAACAGAAGCAATGAATCTATTAAAAATCATATTTGAAGGAGCTGGTGATTTAAATGACTGGAAAGATTTTGAAGCTTTCCTTGCTAATCTTCAAAGTGTATTTAACAATGCAGTTGATGTCACAAGCTCGCTTAAAGGTAACAGTTTAGAAAGTGTTTTAGAAATTATGGGAGTCATGATAACTGAATTGCAGAAATCTATACTGAAAGTTGTTAATGGAGAGCTTTTGAATTCTTGGCTTGATACTTTCATCTCAGGAGGATCCGAGGGAGAAGACAGGGGTGCTGGTGTATTTTCTATTGGAAATTCCCTTTCTACTATTCTCAAGCTCTCCCAAAAGGAACTTGGAATTATTCTTGCTGAGATAAAAGACACAAGTGCTTTCTTTAAAAGTGTGCCTCAAGGAAAATATATGGTTTGTATCAGCATTTTCCAGAATATTACCAGACTAATTTTGAACAATACTCTGAAAGATGTAAGCCATTTGCAAACAAATTTTTCATCTCATCTTAATTCTTTTTTAAACTTTAATAGTACAGTGGATGAAGCAGAGGATTGTAACAGATGGATACGTGGATTAAGTAATCTCAGTGAAAAATACATGTCACCTTCCCACCTTGAAAGTGCAAAACATATTTTATTTCTACTGAAATCTCTGGGAAACATTGAAAGAGATGCTAAACTAATGAACATGATGGACTTTGTTAATCTGATTTTTAATTTGATACTCCCTGAATGTTCCCTAACTGGTTCTGATATGATTTGTGTAAATGTTTATTTCAATATTATAGCAAAAGCTTTAAAATTTATTCTCCCTGAATTTTATGTAAAAGATGACAGTGTTCTTGAATTTATTTTTACACTTTTAAATAACTCTGGAGGGCAACTAGTGGGGCACTCACGGTATACAGCAAATAAGACCCATTTTAGTCAGTCAATCCATGGATTTAACAGGACTTCAAGGATGTTCCTTAATCCTTTTCACCGTGTTCAGCTTTCATCAGTTGAACTTTTGGCAGAAATTCAAACTCTTCTGAAAAATAAAACTTTTGAAATCCAAGAAAACAACTCCTCTCATTTGGATGTTGAGATCGAACCTCTCTTGCATGAGAAAAATACCAGTTTGTTGATGGAGTTTTTTCAAGATGTGATTAGTAAACTTGACTCAAACTTGCAGGGTGAACACAAAACCTTTCTCCAGAAACTGATAGAAACAGCAGCTCTGAATATTGAACTGGTAAGGAAGGCATTTAAAATTTTCAAGTCTTCTAGTTTTACTGGCTTTCCGTTACGAGATGATAAAGAGTTTCTAAAGCATATGGTAACCTTGGTGCAAAATACGAGGAACATGGATGTTGAGTTCTTGATAAGTCAATTCAAACAAGTCCAGAGGAGCCTAGATAATTTCTTTAAAAATATCAAACCTTTGTATATTGAGAACTCTGAGTTAGGAATGTTAACAGACTGGTGGGATGCATTTGAGAATAATTCGTGTAATTGGAACCTGACTGGCTTATGGCAAATAACACGACTCTTTGAACAAGATGAGCTCTACGATGTAGAAGAGATGTTCCATTTCCTCCTCAATGTCATCAGCCTTACAGAAAGATTAGCTCATGGAAACATCACGGAAGCACTAACTGAAGTATACGCTTTCATATTGACTCAGGAAGCAAAAATGCCAATGTTTACTGCAAAGGAGTTCTCTAATCAAGTAGAAAGTCTTCTAATGTTACTGGAGACACTGACAGATACGTCTAATGAACCTGCAGAGGCCTCAGTTTGTTTTTCTGCAGCGTTCTGCTGGACTCTCACAACAGCAACACCTCAGAGTGATCCCACCTTTAAAGCTTGTGAGTTTGTGCATAGCAATTCTACTCTTAGTTATAATGCAGTCATCCAAGTTGTTAAGGAGCTGAAACTCATCACTCTAGAGGACAGTTCCTCATGCACTATGGAAGACTTTCAGATGGATATCGCTCGCAATCTGACTTGCTTTTTTCATCAGATCAAAGAATGGAACTCTATTCTTTTGAAGTTTTCTGAGCTCCATCATGTAAATGGCTCAGTTCTCAAAAAGCTGCTAGATTTTTGGAATGAGCTATCCCTTTACACTGTGCCACTGCAGGTGAATAATACATACTCAATCAATTGTTCCTCCACACCGAAGAGACAAGTGGCTTTACAAATTGTAGAAGCACTGGGCAGTATGCCAGTGGCAGAAATGGAGATGGCCAAAGGTGTTCTTGAACAGCTGGATGATCTTTATGGTGGTCTAAGTTGGAACAGACATTCAAGAACATCACTTATAAAGACCGTTCTTACTAACGTTAAGAATATGACCAGTGATGTTTCTAGACTCCTGGATACAGAAGCTGTCCTTTCTTTTCTTTCTGTAATTCAACCTTTAATGACACTGTCTTCTGTTGGAAACCAGACATACTCAATGCTTATGATATTATCAGCTTTAAATGGAAACAGTAATATCTCTGATAACTTTGAGAACTTCTGGTTTCCTATAGTTACAAGCATAGAAGATTTATTTGTGAATTTTAATGTTAGACGCTTACTTGCAGTGATAGACCAAGAGTTTCAATTACTGAGGTTAGCCACTGGACAGTCCTCTTCAATGGCTTTTGATGCTTTAATACAGCAGTTTAATACATCATCTGTAGATGCTATGTTAAGAAATTTTGAAGACATACAAGAGATTGTGAACAGCTTTCTATGCGAGTGTAACAATAAAAATTATCCTAAAATAACGCATGCTCTAATTCTCCTTATGGCTAATGAAAATTCATCAAGTGACCTACTGCTGGTTGTCAAAGACATTATTGACTTTCTGGAACTATTCCAAAATAAGTCTAAGGAAGATTACACTGGTATGTTGTTTGTTGATGGTCGTCTTAGCAGAGAAAAATTGAATACTCATACTGCTAATTCAGTTTTGCTAAACAGTCTCCTTCATATAATTGCTGATCTTGCTGTTATGGAAGAAACTTTGCATACAAACAATATTGATGTTCAGATAGTTGACTTCATTGATTCATTTTTTGATAATGCACAATATAGAGAAGTTTCTACTCAGTCCCAAAACAGAACTCTGGAGATCATGCAAGAGATCTTGCAAATGATATTTCAGTCTACCACAGAACATGACAGGAACAAAATAACCTTCTTACTAAAGGATTTGTATAAGGATATAATGGCAGAAATGAGGTGAGCGTTTTCTATGTACTCATTTTGACAGTGTGCTGACAATGACAGAAGCGGTCTTTGTTTGTAAACAGCTCAGTCAAAACTTTTAAGTTAATTACTGTTTCATTTCAGATTTTTGCCTTTGAGTAAAACAATATTTTGTATGAACTTATATTGTTCAGACCAGCCATATTTGGTACCGCTTTATATTGTGTGGACCAGGTTATTGATGTGTTTAGTCAACTGTATTGATACTTGAGGTGGTTTCTTTGGAATTATTATAGAATCAAATATTTGAAGATACTTGCAGGTCTGAACACTAAACCCACGGTTATTGGTGGACAGCAGTAATTTTGGCTATGGAGCTAAATATTAAGGAATGCTTGGGACTAATGTTTTGTGGTGGGTTTTTTAAATTTCTATATCGAAATGTAGATATACTGTATTTGAAATGTCTTCAACTTAAATTTGTTGATGACTTATGCAAGCAAGATGACCTTTTTGGGGCTATGGTTATAGTGTTAAGTTGTTCAGTTTAACAAATACAGTTTCTGAAGGAATCTTGAGCCCAAGATTATTTTTGCCAGATTACCCAAATCAAATGTAATCCAGCAGCAGAGGAAATTCTGCTTCAGGAAAATGTTTACTGACAACTTATTTAATAAAAGTACTGCTAGACTGGAGTTGCTGCATTTAAGTAATACTCACTGAAAGAATCCCACAAGATGGTTGCTCCAAACAGCTCTAGCTTGTCTTGCTGGTGGAGGTACTGATCCTACTGACACAGACCAGCTGAGAAACACCATACTGAAGTTGATGCATGAACTCTGATGTGGTATTTAGACCTTTATGATTAATTTTATGCAAATATGTCAAACCAGCGGTCAGCAGGGCCAGGTGTTAGCCAGATTTGTTGAAAAATCAAAAGCAAATACTAGGAAAGTGGTTTATTTTCCCCAAATGCTGAGTATCAGAGATTTTGAGTATTCTGCTTTTTGCTATGAAGTCAGTATGCTGTGGGCTCTCAGTATTTCTGAAGCCATTATGATTTTGCTTATTTTGCTAAGGTACTTTGTAGCACTCCTAAGGTCTTAAGAAAGCTGATTACTTGCTACCTTGATGAAAACCTGGTGGTTTTTTTTTTTGTTTTTGTTTTGTTTGGGTTTTTTTCAATGGAAGTATTATGCTCTGATTTTGAAATAGTTCAGACAAATGTAACAACTGTTAATATTGAAATCCTTATATGGTCCATTGAAGGTTGCAACCATGCATAGTCACTTGTTGAAAATTTTCTGTGGCACCCTTGTTATGAAAATAATGCTTTCTTATTAATCTTTCTACAGAGCATCTAAAATCTGCAAGATTCTTCAGAAACATTTATACCCTGCTAGCGTCCTACTGTTGCAGAAGTTGCAGTTTACCATTTTGAATGTTCTTAAAACCTTTTCAGGTTGGTTACCACAGTAGTGACGGTATGGGTCATCATACATGTCAGTACTATAATGTTAAGGCTTTACTCTGAGGAACCTTTTGTAAAAATGAGTTAATTTGGGTGATGCCAAGCAAGGCAAGCATACTGATGTGTGGAAATTAAACCAACAGAGGCACAGGAAAAATTTTGATGCAGAACACATAAAGGGATAATTTCTTTCTGGAGTGGTCATGTTGATTCAAAATCTCAGTGGAAGCAGGAGGTCCTGCAGCTCCTCTTCTCTCATTTTTAGCCATGTGCTCTTTCTTTTTTGCTTACTCTGACAACACCAGGACCTCATCCTTTTTTGATTTGACTCACAAACGCAGCAGAAGACCGTATACACATTTGGGTTTTGTCTTATCTTTTTTACCGGATATTTTTCTGTGAGGCTAGTGAACTAAGTCAAGTCACAGAGGTTTTTTTACTGAGCCAGAGTTGCCACAAGGCAGCATATAGCTGACAGAAAGGAAAAATGGGGCAAGAATATAAAGGAAGTGGCACCTCCCACTTCTGGCCATATTGAGCAAGTGGATTGACTAACAGTAGCTGAATAACTTCACCTTCAACAAATTGTTCAAATTTTATTGTGTTAGGCTTGTTTTATTCCTTGCATATAGGCCCCCAAGATGTGCACTTTGAGAAAGGCTCTGTGTTGACCTAAGGGTGTAATTTCATATTATGTTTTCTTGGGGGAAACCAAAGCCTTTGCTTTTCAAACTTCATATTTTAACCCAACTATGCCCAGAATTGTTTGCAAAGAGGAATTAGGAGGCATTAACCTGTCATTCTAGAGCAAGGGATGAGATCAGTAATGTCTTATGTCCACTTTATTTCCAGATAAAACCTAAGATGTGATTACAACCCAGTTCTGATTATCTTTCCACTCTTCTGTGACTGATGTAGTTCCCAAAGAGTAAAAGAGTAGCAATGTTGAGCTCAGAATAAGTGATACTGAAAATGTGTGCCAGGTACCTGGGATCTGTCTTTCACCTCTGAAGAACAGTCTATTTATTGAGAGAACTGAGGTTAAGGAACTAAATTTTTGTCATTCTTATTTCAATACTCTGGACAGAGGGATGTTTCATAATGTTTCATTTGAAACAGAAAACATTATGAAACCTAATGAGAAAAGACAAAAATTGCTTGAGTTGGTTTGCATTACTGAGTTACATTGTGAGCAAGATCAAGATTTGCTTGTTTTAGAAGCAGTGGTGAATGTTTATTATTCTTCCTTCTTGACTTATGAACCAAACATAAGGAAAAAAACATGGGGGAAAAACCAGACTTGATCCTTCCAGAAACCACAATTCAACTGTCAAACCAAACTCCTTCCCTGCTATGCCATGTACAAACCCACTACAGGCAGGGGAATGGAGTTTTTTTCCAGGGACATGGGGGCTGCAAGCTTGGGTAGAAACTTCTTCCACGGATGATCAGGTGACAAATATCCCCTATATGGATTTGTTATCCCTAGATATACCAAATGTCTGTGTAATGCTGTTTCCCTCCCCTTGCAGCTAGGGTTTGAAAGTTACTACTCACTGGAGGGTTAGTAACATCCTGATATCTCCACAGGGAAATAGGATCAGGGGAGCCTGCCTGAAGAGGAGGTAGATGTGGTTAATATACACAGCTTCTCAAAGTTATGCTTCTTGCTCACAAAAAGCAAAAATGAGGTTTTCTCCTCTGGTTCTGTAGCAGGTATTGCTGTTCTTATTATTGATCAGGAAAGTGTAATGGAGAAGAGTAATGGAAATTGACTCAAACTAGCCCATCTTGCCCTCTACAATGACAAATAAGTTTAGCCAGAAATATTTCTTAGTGCCTTAACACATCAGACTTCCTTTACTTTTAAAAACTTTTCTGTCCTTTATTATTTGGTTAAATTTTCATCTGACTACAGTAATTTATTTATTTTTTTAACTGATTAAGCCTGGACATTTTCTCTTACAGAAGAACCAGTTGTCATTGGCAACATTTTCTGTGTTGTTACAAAGTGTGAAGATGGATTAACAAGTCACTTAATCCTCTCTGTCATTGAAGGAGTCACCCTGGTTCGAGATCGTTATCAGGTTTGAGTGGTTTCCACACCTACAAGTGTTCTTTACAACATGCATTATACTTTGGAAACTAATGAAAATGTCGTCTTTTTTTCCTACTGTTTGAATGATGAGTCCCCACAGTGACTATACAAAGCAGAGGTTTGTATGGGTATAGCTCTGATGCTTTTGATAGTGATACCCAGAAGGAATTCCTTAAGTAAACATTGGTGAGCTTTGAAAGCTGTAACTAGAATTACTAGAATTCCTATAACTAGAATAACTAGATTGTCATTCAATACCAAACAGCATCTCATTTTTAATTCCTTTACATTTTGTGATACTGCTAATTTCATGAATCAGAGCACATTTATACTTTTAAATCTTCACAGGAACAGGTGTGAAATCAAGCTAGATACGAATAAACTTCTTGGCCAGAGTCATTCAAGCTAAAATAACAATTGTGATTACCAGTTGGGGTCAGTCTCTTTTTCTTTAACAGTGCATGAAATTGCCAGCAGGAGAGAGTAACATTTGGCGTTTAAAGACTCATCCAGAGTTGGAAGCAAGCCTTTGGATAGCGCACACATGCGTGCACGCACAGACAAAACACTAAAGTCATGCTTTTAGTATAGAATTTGCCTCTTCTTTATGAAATATCTCTGCTAGTTTGTCTACCTGGACATTTTGCTGATATGAACAGCAATGTTTTAAGGCAAACAGACGTCAGAGGTATCACTCATATCTCAAAGTGGACTTTTGCAGAACAAATGCATTTCTGTAGTCACCACCATTCTATGACCTGTGTCTGCAAATATTAAAAAAAACCTTGCAAAATCAGAAATATGAATATTCAGGAGAAAAGATAAAAGTGAATACTACACAAAGCATAATGCAAGAAAAACTTTGGATATGGGTATCCAGATATTTTGGTTAGCTGAATGGAAACTGATGTTGTTTAGAACAATTTCTTGGGAAAAAGAGAAAAATGGTCAGCCTAAAATAAAAAAAGGACAAGCTCATTTCATTTTGAAATTAAATTTCAAATGAAAATGTTGGCATTTCTGTTAATGGATGAATCTCCTTGATAGGCTAGGTCAAATTCACAAATATTTTCGGTTGTTTCCAAAACTCAAATCTTTGAAAATTCCTTGGTTCTTGAAAACCTCTCTATCTTACCCATATTCTCATTCGAAAATATTCATCATCTAGTTGCCAAGACCTGCTACTTCAAGCAATAACATAATCTCATTAATTTGCTAACCATATGATCACTGTGTTTTGCAGGATATTGAAAGAATGTGGCCTGCTTTCAACAAGGGGGATTGTGAGCGTATGGCATATATAAACCAAAAACTTTCCAACACTTGGGAGAGCTTCCTGAGAGCCTTGCAGAATACCAGCAATGGCAGCTGTGAATGTCAACTAATGTTGGGGAACATACAGAGACGACTGCAAATGTAAAGCTTTTTACATTTTGGTACCCCAAATGGTTCTTGTTAGAGATGTTATTTTGTGCATATATCTGTATTCTAAACTATGTAATTACAGTAGAAATACTGTTTATCAAAGTCTCTTTAAGCTTTGTTCATTTAACTGAAAATTGAGTGGATACAATGCACAAATTATCCAGAATTTTGCTAAATTACTTAAATATTTCTAAAAACCCTTACACTTTTGCTAAGCACTTGCAGCAGATCTTGCTTCTCCATGAGGAGAATGTTTTGAATCACAACTAAGAAAATTTTCAGTTTTCCATGACCTCAGTTAGGTCAAAATTTTGATATCTTAATTTTTTTATTTAAATCTGTTTTGCTGTGGTCTCCTCCTCTCAGCAGCTGGATATCTTTTGCAAAACATTAAACATTCAGATCAGTTCAGCAGTTCAAACAGTCAGAAACACAGGATGGTGCTTGTAAACTGACAGGCTTGAACTCAAAATAATTTCAGATGTTTGCTGTTCCCTTGAGGAAAAATAGTAGATTTTAACTAAATTAATAAAACTGCTACTATAGAGTGTTTCAAACTTGCTGTCAGTTAGAGGTGGTCCTTTTTATAATTGTTGCTATACTGGTTTGACTGTTGGATTGTTTTCATAATGAGCTTGAATGGTCTCTGTGAATTATAGTAATAATACAGAAGAACTTGAGCTTAGATGCTGCTCTTATGGACCATAGACTCATGTCCAGTTTTTGAATGGTAAATAATATCTGATGTTTGTATACTCTTTATTACTTAAATTACAATTAGATAGACTTTATTCATCCTGAACTGCAGTGCTTTGTATCTCTAGGTTTTAAAAATATGTGTTCAGTAAGAAACATGGAAGTGAGACATTATGCTTCTCCATAAGCTACTGTTTGCTAGAGCACTTAGCCATCATGGGACAATCTCTAAGTTTACAATCTTATTTAGGCATGAAATACGATGATCCCTGCACCATATAATACAGCATGAGAAGGTCTGTAGAGTTGCTTACTGCATGCACAGTGTCTGCACATAAAGCATAATATGACCCTTTTGCCTCATTTAGTGGCTATTTCACTATTCATGTTACTCTTTACACATAGTAGTGTCAATGACTTAGTTCTGATAACTTGTGAAACTAAGACTGTCGTTTCAGGGTGGCTGAAAATTTGGAGCTACAGTTGTCAGAAAATCCAGTGGCAGCTTTTCTCAGCAATTTTAATCTTTTGAATGGTGGGTTCCAGTTTTCTTCACTTTTTTACAAGTCACTGCTGCATAATTTTGCAAGGCAATAACTTTTTCACTGTTCTTCAAACTTGAAAGGGATACTGCTTATGAAGACTACTGATTTAATGCAATATATTTTCATTGTACCCATGTGCACATACATGTGCTTGAGTTGGCACAGGACAGCATAGTTTACCCTGTCAAAACCTGTCCAATAAGATGCAGGGGTTCATTAGAAAGAAGAGGGGACTTAAGTTAGTGGAAAAAGAAATACTTAAAGGACTAAAGACTGCTTCACTAATTTCAGACGTTCTCATAATACAAAGATGTTGGAAAACCTGTGCTCTTATAGGATAATGCAAACAGATGCACAAGTCCTTCAGTCTGCCAGAAGAGTGACCTTTACATTTGAAGTAGAAGTGAATTACATGATATGAAGTTTTTGTGTCCTTTATCACCCCTCGGAATAAATCTAACAAAAAGGATACAGTCTGTGGGCAATTTAATTAACCAGATCGGTACTGTCGGCACTATTTTTCTTCTCCTCCAGATATGAAGGTCAAAAAGTGTGTGCACAATCTTACTCAGTTGAGACTGGATATTGGTTCTTCTGTCAATATTTCTGAAGAAACTATCAGTACCATCTTGGAAGCCAGTATCTCTCATTCAAAGGTAAAAGATTGAAAAGAGGTGTTAAATTAATGGCTTAACCTATAACCTGATGTGCCAACGGAAACAAAACAAACCACCTTGCTTGTGTGGAATCTTTTATTTTTACTTGTCACTTCTATGTGGAATATTTTGTGAGATTCAGGACTTCAAAATAATAATGTGAAACATTAAGAGATCAATTTATAGTAGCACTAATCCCCTGGTCTCAATGGCACCGCTTCATTACTTTCAGCAGTGTTTTACCCCTTGTGTTGACACAGAATTTGAGCTTTGCTATCTTGGTACTGTAGAAAAGGTGAGGGTTCCCAGAGAAATCATTTTGTATCTTCCCACCTCTGATCCTCGCAGTACCAAGTTGTTGGATTTTTTTGTATTCCTCTGTGCACTCCTCACTGTTCTTACATTATCTTACCAGTATCTTGCCTTACCTCCACTTTATTTATCTGTTGTCTTTTAAGTATTGTCTGAAGGGTGGATTGTGTAACTTTTCTGAGTGAAGGACTGTGTGTGTTATCATTGCTGCTGTTTCCTGTGATCCCAGTGATTAGTAGAAATCACGAAAAATGCCACCTAACTTACAGGTTCTCTCTCCTGTTAATGTTTGTATGACTGAAAAGAGCTGGGGGTACATTTGGTATAAACTAATCAGGTCAATTAAGCAGCCACTGGGTGTCACTGATGCTCCACTTGCAGAAACAGTTGCAAGTTTTGTTCGTGAAAAGTCTGGCTATTAAAAAGGCAGTTCAGATGATCCTAACTACTTATAGATGATTTGTTCTTCTGCTTCTCTGGCAGTGTGACTGCATTTATTGTTAGCTTGTTATTTTGATACCGGTAAATGGTAATGAGAGAAGTCATCTGGAAGCGATTCAGTTAAATGGGATTCGGTGCACCTTTGATCTTTTGGAATAATAATGCTAATTGACTGAATTTTCAAATGACTTTCTATCCTTATTTTTTTGCCAAAAAGTCCTGTGTAGAGTTTAGATATATGTACATATCTCACATTTGCATACCTATACAGAATTTTTTGCTTGCTTAAGTGCTTAAATCCTCCCCCAGTTCAACTGGAGCATTAAAGCCTGGGTCTCTTACTGATTATGCAAGACGCACAAGTACTTTTTTAAGCTATATCTGAGGCATGCCCATTATGTTTATGGTATGTATAGCCACTGTCTGATAACCCTAAAGATAGCTGCAGGCCCACTGCAGTCCTATATTTCTGTGATTGTATACTACTACTGTGCTCGCCTCTGGAACGATAAGAGTAAGCCTGTGAGTTGTTTGTGTTCATTGCACTTACCCTTAATTTCTACCACAATATTATGCTTTGGCCATGCTCATTGGCATGTGATTAAGTGTTTTGAAACTGCTCAAAACCTGTAACCTGAAGACTATAAGCATTCATTTACTGAACACAGGAGTTTGGATTAGCTCTGGTACTCACAAAGCTGCAAGGAAAGTTCAGAGGGACTTAATCTAGTGGGTAAAATGCTGAATGGATTAAAACTGGACTGAAATGGTGATATGCATGTGGGGCATGAGGAAACAAATTTCAAATTATATCACAGAGTCAAATTTCCTCCACAACAATAAGTCCAAATCAGTATCCTTTTAAGCTGCTAGCAGAATTATATTTATATTCATAGTCTGCTCTCCTTCTACACGGACAAAAAAGGTGAATATTTAAATATATAGGAAATCCTTTGGAATCACAAAGGCAAAATTCTGTTCCAGAATAAAAATCTAAAAGACAAATTAATAAGTTGGAAATTAAAATGTTTAATAGGAATTAAAGAGTTCAATTGCATATCTTGACCAACTTTGGCTCCTAATTTGATTTTCTTGGGGATCTTCTCCCTCACTGAGTACTGTTACTACCTACAGATGCATTCAGTGGAGGCAATACAGGCAGGTTCTGTCCTAAGGAGTACAATGGAGCCCTCAGTACTGTACTTTGGCTCCTACAGACTCTGAACTTGTAATTTTTCTGGACTTGCTGCCATTTGCTTTCTTTCAGGCATTTCAGGAGAAAGGGTAGCTAAGAACTCCTGAGATATCTGGGCCGCAAGCATTTGTCTTTTGATGTGACGTTTTCGTGGGAAGAAACAAACCATCATTATCCAAGGAGTTTTTATTGTAGTCTCGTCCAAGGCCTGCTTAGGCATTTGTCCCTTCATCCACTATTGAATAATAGCACTTCAAAGGAGCGTTGAACTGAGAAATGTGAGCTGGCTCAGAGTGAACATTGTGCCACATAGGCATCCCTAAGTGTTAAGTTTGTGTGTCCTCTGGAAGAAGGAAGGTCCATATTGTTTAGTTTTAGTGATTTATACATCTAGATTTTGACCTTTAGGTGTTTCTGCAACAAAGGTGTATATCTGTTACAATGGGTATGTGCAGCATTGTAAATATGCCTGCTTATGGTATGAATGCTCATAGAATGAATGATCGAGCTGTTCACAAATGAAAGTAAATCTTTATAAGAAATATACTTCATCTCTTTATATATACATAGAATATAAAGTAAGAACATACCAATCTGATATAAAGCTGTATAGTTCGTTATTTCAGGCCTGTTGATGACTGCAAATTGTCATGTTACTGTGACGCAAATTCTCACCTTATTGACTATAAAAGAAGGTGATGCATTTCAGGGAGAAAAAAATTTAATACACGTACATTATGATAGGTTTTTTACAGTGCCTTTGTGGTAGCTTTAGCTGGAAGATGTGATGAAGAAGTACTTAGCCTGCTGCTAAAGCTACCTGAAAACAGTAAAACTTCCCTGGCAGTGGAAGAATTATGTTCTTTACCAGCACTGGACTTGTATACCGTGTTTGTACTGATTATACAGAATTTGAACTTACGTCATGTCATTTACAAGGTAAGATGAGAAAAAAAAGCATTCAGTCCCTATGTTTTTCTTTTGAAGGTGGTCTAAAGCATGCAGGTAGATAAATGAATAATTCTATTATTTCTTCAGGTGTTCTTTCTCTGTGGAAGCAAACACTGGACATATGGCATTTTTTGTCTTCATTTAGCTCCACAAAGCAAACACAACAGTTGAAGAATGGGGTTGGTAGATGTTACTGTATTCCACTTCTTGCTTCCTCAGGAAAATTATCACTGAGGAGTTAATTATGAAGGGTTTAGACAAAACACAGGAGGTCAAAGATATAGTTTTATTAAACTTTAGCAGAGTTTGCAGCTCATGCAATTAGTCACTTCTTAATTTGCAAGTGTGGAAGACTGATCTGACATCATTGGAACTAAAACAAGCATAGGAGCTCACATTACAAGAATTACAAAATTATTTCTAGGAAAAATTCATAGCACTCTGGAATGTATTTTATTTTCTATAGAAATCATGTTGGCAATTCAGGTGGCTCCTTGAGGAAGGAGCTTTTCCAGCTCTCGGGATGAGTCTCTCTACGAGGGCAAACCTCCTATATTTTATATGACCCAAGTCAAATGACTTTGACAAGAATAATACAGTGCCAAAACTATAATAAAGGGGATGCAGAAGTCTGTAGCAAAACTGTATTATCTGTAGAACTGTAGATAATCTGGGATCTAGTGTGGGTTTTCAGTGTGATAGTATTTTTACTTGTAAGAGCAAAATTATTGTATGGGATTTCTGATAGCAGACGTTTATTTCAGTTCTTTTGGGGTAATTGGTTGATGGAACATAAAATGTTGTAAGTACAAATAGCTGAAAAATAGTTATAACATTGGGAGGAAGAATATTTTGTTCTAAAGCTGTAGATGCCGGGTTATATTCTGGATGCTGCATGCACAGTTAAAGAGGTTGGCCACACACTTTTAAAAACAAGACAATTTCCCAGAATAGTTTAAGATACCAGAGGGAGAAGAAAAGACTTCTACTTTCTGAATTATCTGCCAACCTAGAGGGGAAAAAAAAACCACCCAAAAAACTCCCAGTGCTTATTCTTATGGGCTTTTCTACTGAACCTTACTGAAGCATAATGAATTCCTAGCAAAGAATAAAGAAAGTTGTCAGCTCATCCTAAATTATTATGGAAGTTTTACTATTTTTTTAACTGAATAAGATTTTTTTTTACAGTTTTTTTTTTTTTTAAATGTGTAAAAGCATGTGAAGGTTGAGAAGAAAATTAAGCGCAGACATTATTATAGTAGGAAGTCAAATGAAGGTGGATAAAATAAAGATAATCAGAGGAAGCAGCTGAAAGTATATAATGAGATTATATTATTTTTATTACCATGCATAGGCAGGTAACAATAAATCAGTTTGTATTACCATATCATCTAAATAACATATAAAAGCAAAGGAAATAGAGAGAAAATTCTTAATGCCAAAACTTGCATGGTGGAAACAGCAAACAGCCAATTGAACTTTAGTCAAGTAGGAAATGAAATGCATACTATTATTTTAGGTAAAAAGCAGTGCGTATGAAAAAGGCAAAGGGAGGAACAGTGTGACAAGAAAGTTTGTTGTCTGGTATGATTCCTAAAGCAACTACAGTGGTTGGTAGATTTAATTTAACTTATGTATTATTTTAAACATATTAAACTGTTGCATTGAGCATCTTGAACCGTTGAAGGAAAAGTTCTCATTTACACTGAGTTCTGAGGTGGCAGAGTGTTGCAGATCCCATTAGCATCTTGGGTAGGAGAGCTCTCTTCAGCTTGGTAGGTATAAACGTGTTCTCTGGATTTTAATTCCTGATTTGTCATAGGCCAGTTCTAACATCTCTCTAACAGAAAATGTTTCTTTAGCTGAATTGGAGAGCAACTGGGGAGTTATAATAAAAGGAGTTTTGTTAAACATGGTTTGCAGGAACATTGTATAATCAGTTTTAGAAAAAGACTGAATAATTTTGAGTGTTTCATTGAAAGGTTAAAATTTGTTTCTAATTCGAATTTATTGTTGTGATTTTTCCTTCTTTTCCAAGATTAAGATACCATCTGAGATAGGCAATGTACTAAACATGCTACTGGATGTGGTTTCTAGTATCAACTCTCTTCTCAATAAAGCCCATCATGTCATGGAAAACCTTCCAGTGTTCCTCCAAGGAATTCAAAATACTGGTGTGCTTGACATCTCTGCATTGCAGCAGGTATGTGTATGATTTCAATATGCAAACTTAATTCCCATTGTGAGGTGCTTTGTTAGGGATGTCTGCTTAGTAAGGAGGAACACCGATAGAAATTGTGTCCTAGAAAGTTGTGAACTTGGAGAGAAGAGAATGCATAGACCCTAGGAAGATTCATTTGGTCTCTTTCAGGCACACTGGTAATTTTGAGACTAACAATGTGTTGTTTCTGTCATCTCTTTTTTTGTTAACTTATGAGATCATAGCCTAAGTTAATATGGTGTTAGGCTACTGGTTAATAATAGCATGTATTATCTGTGATTTGGAGATAGCCATGCCTTTTCTGCTAATGCTGGATTTTTTTTGATGAGCAGACTATTACTTTGTTTATAAGAAATAACTTTGCATTTTTATAGGATAAGATTTCAAGAGAACATGTGCAGTTCTTGTATCTGCCATGGGTTTCTGTTTCTGTCACTTAAGGGTTTTGTGTGATAGTTCTGCTTGATATTTAAAAAAAAGTGGCATGAGGTGTGAGTGAGGATATTTCTTTTGTCCCTGCCTTTAAGGGCAGTTGCTGCGTGCGCATCTATACAGCTAGCACAGTGGTGGATCTACTATCAAACAGATCAGAAAAAAGATTTCTGTTTCTAAGCAGGGTCCAATTCCATAAGAAGACCTGCTGACCCCTATGGAATTACCTTCTGGATTTGCTATTCTGTGTGGAAAGTTTAGGATTGAATGTGGTTCTAAAATTACAAACCGCTAAGAGATCCCTGAGTGGTAAACAGTGCAAACTGGTTTGTAACTACAGTACAGAGTAAACACTGCCTTAAATACTGTTTTCCCTAGTGATATGAATCTTTCTCAAGATCTTCTAATCTGTGTGACAAAGGGGCATGTTGTAAAATGTTTTTCTGTGCATATTAGTTTTGTGTTTGGGCCTCTCTTCTTTGGGGTAGCTCTTTCGCTGCCACAATGAAAGGTGGCATTCATCAGATGCATACATCTTTTCTTCTTTCCTTAATCTAGTTCTGTTTGTGTCAAACTTTCCTTCGAATAAATGAAATATTCTTTTTGGAGTGAAATCCCAAAGTTGCTTATTTGATAGAAGAATGCCTCAAAAGGTCCTGTTCAAAAAAAGTTTGCAAAGGAACAAATAGAACAGCAGAGGGCCATCTGGTCACAGTTTTAATCTTTGCTCCATGACAACCAATATTATCCTGTAATATAGCACAGATTTAACCTTGGAATTTTTGTTCCTTTTTACATCTTACCTTTTTTGGTCACTTTTTCTGACACAATCTTTATTTTATTGGTTTTTGTAAATTCCTTTTTTCTTGAGAAATTGCTGTTTGTTTTTGTCACCTAATAATTTGTAGAGGATTTAAAAATTCAGTGTCTATTTCTTTGTTAATAAATTAGTTGTTTCATGTTTTGAAAGGCTCTTCTGTCTCTGTAACTTTGTCTCATTTTTTAGACTAGTAAAAAAGTTGTTTATTTTTAAGTATCCTTTCCTTTTCGGGTTTAACTGGATTTTTTTCCGCTTTCCAATAATACCTTGAATTATTGATTATTTGGTTTGCTTCTTTTCTATAGTGGCCAAACTTGTGCTATGAATAAGCGAGTGACTAAAATGGAGATATTGCTTATACACTTTCCTCCTTAAATATTTTCTTCTATTTCCAAAAGATTCCATCCTTCTGGATGGACCAACAGCAAAGTAGTTCAGTGACCTAGGAAGATTACCAAATAAAGTATGTAAAGCTTTTTAAAGCAAAACCATGTGGACCTTCAGCATAGAGTAAGACAGATTGTCTCCTTCATTAACTTCTAACTGAAAAAATTATTTTGAAGTTGATTTAAAAAAAAAAATTCTATAATGAAAGAGGTAATAAAGTAATTGTCAATTATACATGTGGATTTTTTTCTGAAAAGACAAGATGAAAAGCAAGAAATACCTTTAAAATATCTGTAAAATGTGAAGTTGAATTGGTATGCTACATATTGTGTATTAAAAGAGGATGTAAAACCTCAGTATCTGCCAGTAAGTAATAATTGGAATACAGAGCCACATTTACTGTTAACAACATTGAGTGAATGGATAACTCCCTAAGGAAAAACACTGCTGATTTTGATCATGATTTTTGCTTGCTTGTTTGCTATTTGAAATTATTTGCTTATATTTCCATAGCTAATTTTTGTTATGTTTGTCACTCGTGAATAGATAAGCTGGAGGGGACCTGCTGAGTTACTGAATGCTGTCAGTTGTGAAAGGTGGCCTCATTCTGTAATCCCTCCACTTACTTGAACAGGTTCTCTGTTAAAACTATCATTACCGAAAAGCCTCTTGGTGTTATAAGTGTATAAAATTCTGACTTGAGTTTATCCATGTATATTATTTTGATAGATAACTATCCATCAAAAATGTTCTGTAGCTTTTATAACTTCTCTGACTTGCTCATGTGTTTGTGGAAGGCCAGTCATTGTCCTTTTCTGTTTTGATAGGGTTAAATAGATTTATTTTAGTATTTGTTTTGTTTGTTTCAGTTTTTTTCTTTTGTAACAGGATCTCAGTTGTCTCAGACATCCTAGTATCATCTTTGCACGCTGTGTTAAGGCTAATCTTGAATGTTGGTGACAAGAAATGTGTACAGTCTTTGAGGGGAATTATGGCCGATGACTCTTGCAGTTCTGCTCATTCATGTCTATACCTAATAAAATTACTTTCTTAATCTTGCATTCACCTTTTTCGTAAACTGCATGCATTTTTGTCTCTTACTTGTTCAATGATCAGTGACATACCCAGGTAAGCTCCATTTTATAACAGTATCTCATGATTTCAGTTGATAAATAATGTTTTGCACTGGTTATCTTTATATGCAATTTACTTTAAATTAGGTAATTGTTTTCTTGCCATACTGCATACTGATCTTCTTTTCTCCTGCAATGCCTTCTGGTATTAAATTATGGGGAAATTTCAGTAACTTGCTTCTTTCAGGGCTAAAAAACTTATCACAGTAGACCTAAGACCAGTCTCACAGGAGTAACACTAGAAACTTCTCTGTGATCCAGTGTTTTCTTTCCTTTTAACAGAGTCCCTGCAATATCTTCTTAATGCCATTTTTTACCCACCACATAGTTACTGGATTAATGTTGATTAATATTTTCTAGGACAAGAACATTAATTGGTTGTTAGAGTTCACTTAGTTTAGAGACAGCGTATGTCTTTTTTGGGAAAAAGCACTTGCCTTCCCGCATAAATACATTGTATTGGTCTGGAATGATAATTTGATAATGCATTCAATTTTACTCCTCACATACTTTTTGCCTTTAACTGCTCTCCACTTTAAAATTTATTGTATATCTATTAAACATCACAACGAGATATCCATTATTTCCTGGACCATTTTGTTACTCGTTCTTGAATATAGATGAATTTTCTACTTTTCCTTCAAATATTGCCATCTAAATTCGATAGGCTTCTGAAAAATAATCTAACCAAATCAGCAATTTTGCTATTGTTTCCCCTGATTCTGTCAATTTCAGTACAATAACAACTTTGGGATTTTTATGGCTTTACTCAGAAGTAGGAATATCTATTTATCTGCATTTGTTTCATTCAGCCCTTTGGTTTAATCAAATTTTGAATTATCTTTAACCTCCTTGTAGTTTTCCAGGAAAATTGCCTTTTTTTTTTCTCTCTCTCTCTCTCAATGTAATAATTCTGAAATGTATTTTAGTTTTATGTGCAAGCTGTAACCTGGCTTGACTTTTAGGTTTTTTTTGTTGAATAGTTGGTATTTCTACTCCACATGAATTGTTTTTATTCATAATATTTTTTTTAAGCATACAGCTGTCCAATTAGGTCAGAAGCCCCTATGCTATGAGGTTTTTGCCCCCATTTGAGAATCTAGTTCCAGAAAGCTTTCTGATCTTCAGTACCATCCTTCCTCTTCCATGAACTTGTTGGAGTGACTGGCTTGACTAATTACTTTGTTTGTAGGAGGCTGCTTGTTTGGATTCATCAGCCTTGATTACAGACCTACTTCATTTAGTTTAAACTAAAACAACTGGATCAAAGATAACTTTTTGTGAACATCCATCCTATGTAGTTCTTCCACTTTATCAAAGCCAAATTTTAGGAGACGTATCTTATTGAGTCAGTGGATATTTAGTTGAAAGACAGTAAGTAGATTCAGTCTGTTGGTGGCAGCTTACCACATAAATATTCATTATTTGAATTTCAAGTTATTTGATTGGAATTAGTTAGCAAGTTTGTGCTCTTTGACTGAAATAAGCCTCATTTATCCTTCTAGTGCAAATAGTCACTAATACTAATAGTAAAGTCCATGCCAGCAGACTCATTCAAAAGCTGTAGATGATGGTATTATGAAATCTGGATGTTATTTATTTACTATGTTGTATGCTGAAACCGTATGCAGAAAGTCAGATTTTGGGAGCAGCCAACACTGAGTTTTAAATAACACTTCTAATATTCCTCCAGGATTACTAAAGAAGCACCTGGCACTTCAGTAAATGCATTGATCAGGATAAACTGTTTCTAACAGCACAATCTCTAAACTGTCTGTGATTTATTCTTTATGTGAAGTACGGAACTACTTTGAAAATTGACTCTTCTGTTTAAAAAAAAATTCCAATGATGAAATGCTAATTTATTTCAGTGTCAGATGTGTTTGGTTGACATATCACAGTCTTTTTCTATTTGCCAGTTGTGCAGTCTTCAAATGATATCTGATAGTCTAGTTATGTTTTTCTTGACAAGCATCTGCAACAGTAATGAGTATCAGGCGGGCCAATGCATCCTTCAGTCATACTCTAGCAGCACGTTGCCTTGCAGTTGTATCTTCTCTTAGAACTGTGCACCTGTATAGTCTTCCATAAGATACCAATGACAACTGAGCACGTTATTTGAAAAATGAAGCTGCACAGAGGAGGCTGTTGTTTTTTTTTTTTTTTTTTTAATGTGGTGAATGATGGTGCTTAAGCCATAAAAGCAGTCAGATTGCTCTCCTCATTAGATGTATGCTAGTCATGAGTAAATGGCAATAATAAATGCTGGTATGACTCAAGATGTGCAAAAACTAGAAGCACATCTAACAAATTAAAAGATGTACTTGAAAAATAGGCTTTTAGAACACATGCACTTGAATGTTTTTTTTACTTCTTAGCAACTGTTTTCACTGCAAACATTCATATGCAAAACAGTTTTGGTTGTTTCTGCTGTCTTTGTGACACAGGAGTAATCTACCAGAAGAGTAGACTTTGTGAAAACTGACCTTGTAACCAAGGAATCTGTAGTCCAGTTGTCTTGATATTTTAATTCTTTTTCTGCCTAACCAATACACAGTATTTTTAGCAGTTTAATGTAGTACATTATACTACTGTCGTTCATCGAGTATCCTGGCAATTAAAACTGCATTACCTTTTTTTTTCCCCCCATGATAAAGGTGATCAGGAAAACAGAAAAGAGCACAGCAGGCCCTCATTCTTGTAGGCAGTTTCAACAGTCTAATTTTCTCAATCTCCTTGGATGCCAATATTGAACGAACACCAGGGCTACTCCTTGAAGCTACTAAAAGTGACTTTGATTCATCTGTATTTCTGTTTGTTTGTTCTAGTTCTTGCAAGGTGGGCAGTTCAGAAGTTCAGCTGTTGGATCCCTGGAGTCCTTAATCAAGGCAGTGTGTAAAGAAGAATCTTCATTTTTCAGCAGTGCAAACCTGTTCATCGACATGCCCAGAATCATGGGACTTTTGGAGGACAA